GGCAAGCCTCCTGCCTCAGCCTCCTGAGTTCTGGGATTACAGGTGTGCATCACCAGGCCTGACCTAGCAAATACTTATGATGGAGGTGAATTTAAAAAGCAGAATCTGGGGCCCGGGGAGATAGCTCAGTAGAACAAGTGCAAGGGCCTGAGTTCAATCCCCAGTTCAGCCAAAAATAAATAAGTAAATAAAAAGCAGAATCTGTCCAAAGTAAAGGAAAAAAAAAAAGGTAAAGAAATCAGGACTATTTGGCTTTTCCACAAAATTTTAAGATGTCTGTAAATGGTTAGTTAATAATATTCTCTTACACTCATTTTTCTAAATAAAACTTATTATCAATTTCTTAGTGTACTATAAACTGTAATTTTGTGCTTCTAAATATTAATAACAGATGGTTTTAAAAGAAAATTAGTTTTTTAAAAAAAGGAAAATTAGGATAAAAGGTAAATAGTTTGCTTTTTTTTTTTTTTTTTTTAATGTATTTGGTACAGGGTCTCACTACACAGCTCAGACTCATAGTGATCCTCCTGTTTTCATCCTCCTGCAGCACTGGGATTATAAGCATGCGCCACCACAGGCCAGCGCAGCACATAGTGCTGGAGATCAAACCCCAGTCCCCACACTTGCCTAAACAGGCGCTTAGTCTGCTGAGCTATCTCACTGGCCCAATAGTTTACAATTTTGATTCTACCTTTATGACCACTGAACTGGGAGATTTCTCTGTATATTTTATACATCCTGTCTTCTAACTAGTAGTTTATAAGCCACAGGTCATCCATAGTTAAATAGGGATAATCAACCAGGCATGGTGGTGCACACCTGTAATCCCCGGACTCAGGAGGCAAAGGCAGGAGGATTGCTGTGAGTTTGAGGCCAGCCTGGCCTACACAGTGAGTTCAAAGTCAGCCTAAACTACACAGTGAGTTTGTCTTTGAAAAGGGGAGGGGGATATAATCAAAGAGAAAATGAAGTGATGTATATCTGTGAAAATAATTTGAAAGCTTGGGCTGGGGAGATAGCTCAGTAGAATAAGTGCTTGCCTGGCAAGCTCAAGGGCCTGAGTTCAATCCCCGGTTCTGCCAAAAAAAATTTTTAAAAATAATTTGAAAGCTTTAAAAAAGTACCATGTGGGTTGTTAATATTATTTTGGTTTCCAATGACCATAAATAGGTGACACAGGCCGTTACTCTGTGACCTTTGCTACAGGGCAAGAAGACCAACTGTTGCTTTTGACACAAACATTCACAGAAGACCCCATGCACACTTTTCAACTGTTTTTATGGCAGAGGTACTGAATGAAGAACATGTAACCATTCCACAGAAAGATGGTGAGAGTAGCGTGGGCTGCATCATGCCTTCAAGCCTGAGATCACTGTGCTGGCATGAATTTTCTTCACTTTAATTCATGGGTACTTGGCACATGCTGGTTTGACAGAAATAAACATCCTTTTCTCTAATAGCTAAAAAATAGATAATACTCCTTGTAACAGAACACTACCCACACCCACCTCTGTGCAGAAACCTTTTTTTTTTTTTTGTGCAGTACTATGATCAAACTCAGGACCTTGCACTTGCCAGGCAGGTGCTTATGCTGCTGAGCTATATCCCCGGCCCATAGGAACTTCTTAAATGACACCAGCAGTCACTGAGTAAAACTGCAGGCTACTTGGCAGGTGAGCCTCAGCTGGAGCCAATCAAAAGCCCTAGTTAAGAAGGCAGACAGGACACTGGGCACCAGCAAGGGAACTGAAGATAAGTAAATTTCACTTCCTAAGGCAAGTTATCAGGTAACTGTTAGTTTCTTGGCTAACCCAAAGCATGTCCCAGTGGGCCCTGCACTGGGACCAGCATGGTGCCAGCAACAGATCTAAAAGTAAGGTGACATTCAGGAGACAAGAGTCAGGGCTTGGAAACCTGGCAACACCTTCCCAACAGGGCTTCTCCTTCTGCTGCCAACTTCAGAAGGTCTGGCCCAGCTCTGTTAAGCCACCCAACAGGTATCCTAATCTATGACAAAACAGCTGGTCATACAAAGAACTGCATCACATGCTCAGGAAAGTCTTGGAAGACCCAGGTGCATGGAAGACCCACACCTCCACTCCACAGTGTCCTACCTCCTTGGTTCACCTTCGGCACCTCCTGGCAGCCCGAGAGGTCCTGTTTCTGTTCCGTGCTGTTCTGCTGTTGCCTTGCTGTATGAACGGCCTGGAGCACTTCCAGCCGTCGCTCCACACCAAAGGCTGTGGAGTTCACCACCAGCTCCTCTGCCTCTGACAAGTGGCCCAGAGGTAGCAGGACGCGCTGCAGGTGGAGCTCAGCCAACACTCCATATTCGGGAAGGCCTTGGTTGCCTGGGTTTTGGAGCCAGGCACTGGCCACCTCCAGCATGGCTCCAGGCTCTTGCATCTTGCTGTACAAAAGAATGCTGTATCCCAAATAATCCAAACCCCCAAAAAAGAAGAGTCAGGGCTCCACAGGTCACTCATTTCTTATGTTTACCACACCTTTCCTATCCACCCCCCTACCCCATCCTGTGTCCTCCAACCCTGCCCTATGGAATGGCGACGCCATTAACAATCAGGGACTTTTAGCCAAGTGTGGTGGCACACACCTGTAATCCTAATACTTGGGAGGCTGAGGCAGGATGGTCTTTGCAAGCTTGAAGGCCAGCCTGGACTTAGTTAGCTTGAGGCCCAGCCTGAGCTACATAGCAAGACCCTGACTGAAAATTTTAAAAAGGAGAAGAGAAAAAAATTAGGAATGCCTAAGGAGTAGCAGCACTTTTGGCTCTGTCCACTTGTCACCCACTCATTATTCCATATCCCCTCTTCTTTTTTTCTCTGTCCTACTCCTAAATTCCTTCTTCTTTATCCTCTATTGCTATGGTCTGAGATCTGAAAAAAGGATGACAACTAGCTTTGGAGGAAAATAGTAGGGAAAAGGAAAGAAGAACCATCCGCCCCTGACTCAGGAGAGGACAAGAAAATTCTTTCGTTCCTGCACCAACCCAGTACCAGCAACAAGGACCTACCACAGCTCCAGGACTTTAGGGGGCAGCTTTTCAGGGACTTGGTAATACTGAAGCACCCAGGAGAGGACTTCTTGCCACCGATCCATTTCTGCGAGGGCCTGGATCCCCACAACACACAAGGAACACTTCGCCTCCAAGGAGCTGTTGTGGGGGAAAGACAACCTCGGGTTTAGAGGTGGTTCCCTCAGTGTTTACTTCTCCCTTTTCCCTGAGACTGTTCTCCACCTCCTAACTCAGCAGCTACCAGTTCTAAAGATTGGTCTCTCAGTCACCCCTTCCCTCCAGGCCCCAAGCCGCCTAGAACCGAACGGGCTTCTGCACAGGTGAAATCCAACTGGAATGAACAGAAAGGGTAATCCTGAGTGGAAAAGGACAACACTCAACACAGGCACATTAGTCAAAGCAGAGAACTTAGTGAAGAAATGGGCTTGGAGCAAGTTTTCTGGCTGCGTTTAAGTACAGGAGCTCACCGCTGGCCTTTTAGCATTACAAAGCAAGGTCCCTCCGGTCACCTAAAAACACAACCTGGGCTCCTGCTGGTTTCTCTGGGATCAGCTATGACTTCCCTGGTGTGGCTTTACCCCAGCTTTACAAGCCACACAAAAATACCTCCAACTGCCAGAGCCAGCATTAGAAAGAGCAACGTGGGACCAAGATTTCCTCTAGGGTAATTCTCGAATCCACCCTTCAAGGGCACCACCGCACCGCCGCTCCTACCTGGACCGACCCCCAGGCCCCAAGAGCAGTCCGGGCTAGGGTGGGGAAATCTAGGGAAAGACTCCCGTCCCTTCCGAACCTGCTCGCTGTTCAGCACTTAGCACAACCTGGCAGGGGCAGAAATCCCGCGACCCCGAGTCCCTCCCCCAAAGCACCGGGAAAGGCGCAGAGTCCAGCTCGTACGTGGCGGCGGGCTCCCCGGCCAGGGCGTCGCGGGCCAGGCTCCGGCAGGCGCGCTCGCAGGTCTCCAGCGCGCCGGGGAAGTCGCGGTGCACCACCAGCAGGTCGGCCGCCTCCTCCAGCAGGTGCAGCGCCGGGGGCGCCGCCGGGGCCGTGCGCGCCGGCTCGCTGCTGCGCAGGGGCCCCGCGAGCCCCTTCAGCGGGCCCGCGGAGATTGCGGCGTCGGTCTTCATGGCTCCAGACGTCCCGCACCGGCCTGGGAGAGGAGAGATCTCACACCCTGCCCACGACCCTCCCCGAGGCCGATTCCCGGAGAAGGAAAAGGAGGGCAAAGGTTAGATTCGCCAATAGCCTGTCACCTGAGAACGGTCTATAGGTCGGACTCGCGGGATTTCTGATCCGTAGAGGACCTCACGTTGGTTTCCCCGGCCCACGGCAGGCAACAGAACCACGTTCGTTCCAAGAGCCGCTTTCCCGGTTCCTTTTGCATCCCAAACCCTGAACATGGGCGCCGCCATCTTGGATACCCTCCGTGCCCCGCAGCAGGCTACGCTATTGCGTGGGACCCTGGGAGTTGTAGTTCTTAGAGCTCGGCTCCGCCACACTCTAGGAGCAGAGTTCAGAGCTCAGACTACAACCCCCAGCATTCCATGCGCCAGAAACTGTCATCAGACGAGGAGGGGGGTATTGATCTGTCAGCCTTGAGGTCGAAATATAGTGATAAACGGACACTTTAACGAGACTTCCGTTGAAATTTCAGTAATGGAGGTGGATCTCCTTGCATGCTTCTAATTCTGAGCTTCTGCAGGAGTGTCAGTTAAGAATCAGAAGGGAAAACTAGGCAGGGCACTGAAAGGAGACGTAAGCGCCTGCCACGTTTGCGGAGTGTGTTCTGCCGGACCATATTTGTATAGTGCTTAAAGGGCGTGACACTGCTAAGAGCTTTGTGTGCAACCCTAACTCGGTTCTTCCTGTTACCTGATTTTACAGGCAAGGAGGTTGAGGCTTATTTAAATAATAGGAGCTTATTTAAATAATTTCCCGAAAGTCACACTACTAGTAAAAGACCAAATCAGTCATACCAACATTCTTGGCTCAAACGCAAGTATTATTTAAACACTATTGTGTTCAGCGGGACGAAATTTAAGTCTATGTTTTGTATTCAAGGGATGCACGATCATCACACAAGAAAGAAAAGTTTTCTTTGAACCTTTATATAAAATAAGGATATTGTAATCAGGTATAGTGGAGTACACCTGTGATCCCACTGGTTGGGAGGCTGAAGCAGGAGGATCATTGCTAGTTTAAGGCCAGCCTGGAATTAAACTAGCAATGAGAATTCAAGATCAGCCTGAACTACATAGCAAGATTCTGTCTTTTTTTTTTTTTTTTAAAGGATATTATGGAAAAGTCATTCACAAAAAGCAATTTACAATTAAATATTAGGACCAGATCAACTTTTGATAAATTGCAGCTGTATAATTTTATGTGGATCTGTAAATTACACATATATTCTATATTTCCCTCAGGCTGTGTTAAGACCCCCCTCATTTACTCTAGGGTCTGTTGGTTTATAGTTTCTCCCCAGCTTTCTGCCCTCTGAGCTCTCAAAAGCATCCTTAGAATCACTGATCCCTTAGAAAGGCAGAATACAGCTAGTGCCTGCTCGCACCATGTGTCCCCTTCCCTTGTCACCAGCTTCACACCTCACCACATTCCAGGTCTCCAGCTCTCTACAGAAAGTCCTCACAAAAAGCTGAGGCAGAAACATTAAGTCCATGAGGCTGAGGAAAAGAAGCATGGATCCTGCAGCCATCTAAGGTGGCAAAGCCAGGGCTTTACTTATTCCACAAATAGTTGTCAAATACCTCCAAAGTGTAGGCACTGTTCTCTGCCCTAAGGCTCCTGCAGGGTGTTATGGGTCACTTAGCCTAGGAACCAGACCAGCCAGATAGAAATTTGAATAGAGCCTTTATTTACTGAGTTCAGGTCTGTCAGCCATTTCTCACGCAGGAGAAGGCTGATCAGCCCCAAACGTAGGTATCAGGGGGGTATTTATAACAGAAATCACATCCAGTTTGGTAAGCAAATTTGTTATCTAGCACAGGACAACAGAAACTACATTTATTTGACACAGTTGTAAACTTTATAACTAAAAGGTCTTTTACAGCTTAGTGATAAGTGTATATTTTTATAAGATATATCTTAAGCTGACTAGGTTATAGGAGATGGTTGGGGAGGGAGTTTGTGTTAGTTTGTTGTCTTGACAAGAAACAGTTATTTATTGTTGAACAGCCTTGAGCCAAGAGGGAGAAAATATTTTTTAGAGTAGATAACAGGAAGCACAAGGGTTTTCTTCTGATTTTCCACAGTTAAGGCACAAAACTCTATTAACCCTTTACATTCCCCCTTGGTTTTTGTCTGGGAATCAAATCTTTGATTTATTTAAACCTTATAACATGAATTGTCTGGGGGTGTGAGAGGCTTATTGTTAGATCTCAATACTATTAATTTTATCGTCTGAATTTTTTGTTGTATATTATAGTCAAACAGTTTATTATATAAGGTCCGATGAGCAGGACCAGAAGAAATATGATCATGGGCCCAATCAGAGCAGTTATCAGATTATTTATCTAGGGGGATATTGAAAATAACCCCCAGTTATTACCTTAACAGATATCTTGGGCTAACTCTTTTAGTATGTTTATTTGATTTTGTATCTGATGGCTGTTATCTGATAGATTAAAACAGCACATTTAAAAAAATTTTTTTATATCCTTGATGGTGAAACAATAGTAAATAATCTATGGCAGCCCGATTGTCTAATATAGCTTGTCTATTTTTTAAAATTTTTTTTTTGTATTGAGTAGGGCTATGGCCGTTGAAGTGACATTAAGAGCTTTGGCCACATTATAATCTAATTGTTTTATATGTTTTTTGTTATTTTATCAAAGTATAGGTTTTTAACAACATTGAGTATCATAGCATATAGGCTTTTGTATCAGACAGGAAAGTGACTTAATCATTATCATAGTCAGGAGGAAGAGGGATGTTAGAAACTTTTTTTTTCTTGTGGGGTGATGATGTTTTTGAATGGTATACCATTAAATCATCTTGAAACAGAAGAATTATATTCAGCTTGTTTAAACAACAGGAGACTCTATTTAGATAAGTTGGGATATAGTTAAAAGTATGTCTATTGTATGTGAAAAACCATCTAGTGGGTAATAAGATATTATCATTTATATATGGCTATTTTATAAGACTAGAACAATTTAGAAATCTTGACAATCTGTGACAGCTTTTTTTAGTATAGTTTATAAATTGTACACAAGTTTTATTTAAAGTAACTACAGTCTTTGGGGTAACAAAATGTAAAGCATCAGGTGGTACATCATGTGAGACAGGTCCCCAGTTAGCCAAGTCATAATATGGGGCAGGTTTAGAAATGTGTTTTTAAAAGGTTAAACTTTTATTTTTTTTTATTAATTAATTTATTTTTTTTTAACATTTATTTATTGTGTGTGTGTGGCCAGCTCAGCCCACCAGGGGGCGCGGCCGAGCTTGTTCCAAGTAGGTGCTTTAGACCACTGAGCCATCTCTCCAGCCCCTAAAAGGTTAAATTTTTAATATCTTTTATAGGCTTGTATACTGGTCTTAGGCATGAACTCAGCACATATTGAAGATGTAAGGTTTGTTTTAAGCAGAAAGTTGACAAATTAAGAGTATTTGTCATCTTTACCCACATGTTATCATGGGAATTAATTATAGACAGCAGGTATGGCTGACAGCACATGAAACTTAGGTATTATATAATGTATAATAAGAACTGAAAAGAGAGTTAGGCCAGGCCTGTATCTTGGCCTACTAACTTGACCTTGAGCGGATTGGGGTCTTTTTGATTGACCATCTTGTTGAGTTGTCGTACACTGTAGCCAGCTTAATGTGGGTGTGATGAATCTAGTGTCTCTTTTTAGTTATCTTGACGGAGGTGGGCGTGCTCAGGATGACAGGATAAGGTCTTATCTAGTGAGGTCCCAATGTGGATGGATCTCACTTTTTTATGCTACCTTATGCTACCTTATGCTACCAATGTGGATGGATCTCACTTTTTTTAGTGTTTTCCAGGAGACCTACATCTAGCCAGGGTTTGCAGCCAGTGGACTGTCAAGTTGTTTTGGTCTTGAATGTTGACAGCGGAAGAGGGAATGTGTAGCCTGTAGAGTAGACTGTAGAGCCTGTAAGGACTTAACAAGTTTTTGATTAAAAATGGATGTCAGGATTTTTTTTCCCAGTTTGGGGATTAAGGGAGGTGTCCAACCATATATAGATTTAAAGGAAGTGATCCTGTGTATATAGGAAGTATAGCGGGCTTGTAATAAAGCAAAAGGAAGGAGACTCACCCAGTTTTTGCCAGTCTCTAACCCTAGTTTTGAAATGGTTTTTTTAGAGTCTGATTTATTTTTTTAATCTGACCTGAACTCTGAGGCCTATATGTACAATGTAGTTTTTATTTTAATTTTAGGGCCTGGGACAGACTTTTGGTAACCTGGGCTATAAAAGCCAGACCATTGTTGGACCCCATAGTAATGGGTAGGCCAAATCTGGGAATAATCTCTGTCAATAACTTTTTTGTCACTGGCAGAGCTGACTTGGATCAGATGGCATAGGCCTCTGTCCATCCAGTAAAGGCACCCACTAAAACAAAGAGGTAGCGATATCTTCCCTTTTTTGGACCCATTTTAGTGAAATCAATTTTTTAGTGTTTGCCAGGAGACCTACATCTAGCACGCTGTCTAGGTTTAGAAATAATCTTGCTGGGGCTTACCTGGGCGCAGTGGAGACACCTTTGGCTGGTTTCTTTAGTCATTTGACTTAGTTTAGGTATAAAATAGGATTTTCGTAACAGTTTAGCCAATTTATTTTTTTCCCAAGTGAGTCCCTTGTTGTATCTGTTGAATGAGCTCTTGGCCTAGTGCCTCAGGAAGGAGAATCCTGCTGTCTGGCAGCATCTGCCAGCCATCCTGTGTTGGCGTGGTTTTTAAGCTTTTAGCCAACAAAAGATCTGCATCAGAGTAAGTGGGCTGATCTAGCACTCTGGGTGGCAGGACAGGCAAGAGTGCGTCGAGTGGCCCCACTGGTTTTTGTGTCACTTTTTTGGCTGTGGCATCTGCCAGAGCATTTTTTTTTGGGGGGGGGCCCTCTAGAGAGTTTACCTTTTGATGTCTCTGGCAGTGGATAACTGCTACCTTTTTGGGGAGCCACACGGCTGTAAGCAAGTCTAGGATCTCTTGGGCATTTTTAATCTTGTGTCCACCTGTGGTTAATAGACCTCGTTTTTTATAAATAGCTCCATGTACATGAAGGGTAGCAGAAGCATACCTGCTGCCAGTGTAGATGTTCACCTGTGTATTTTGTCCCCAGCAGAGGGCCTGGGTTAAGGCAATGAGCTCTGCCTGTTGGGCAGATGTCCCATGTCCCAAGGCTTGGGCCCAGATCACTTGGTCTTTTGTGACCACTGCTGTCC